TTGGTTTTGGATGTTCTGCACTTTCGTTCCAATCAGATTTCAACGGAGAAATCGATTCAGATTTTGATGATGACCTTTCAACTTTAGGATCAGGGGTCGTAGATATCATTCGTCTTCGAAGTTCGGTTCCATCAGAAGGCTCTTCAACGTCCTGGCTTCGTTCGTCCTCAACATCCATGTTTTTGTCAGTCCAATCGTAGTAAACTTCGGAATCACCTCCAGAAGAGCCAGCTCTATATCCGGTCGGAACCGATCGTAATCCAGTAATAAATCTTACAAGATTGGACCATGCGTGACTTAGCCAGGCACCCATTTTGAATTCTTGGAGTATTTTTAATAAGGAACAGTTAATTTAAGTTTAGGAATGCTGTAACATAATAAAAACAAATATATCTAAAGTTTAAGATCTGGGATTCAATAAAACCTGAAAATTTCAGTCTTTGGAAAATTCAGCGGGGTGGCGCATTGTGCTAAGCGTTAGGAATACGCTCGTCACCGCATCTCTGATCACCCTTCGTGGGATTGCAGGTTCGAATCCCATGCGAGGATGATCATGTGCCAGAGGATTGCTGGACTCCTCGTCGCCGTAGAGTGGTTCACGTAACCGCTGGTCGGTTACGGTTTCCTCCACCATCAAGTTCATGCTTCCGAAAACAAATAACTGGCTAACTAATCCCATACCCGACATGGACTGGTAACCAGACGAGATGCCGTGGTTCGCCATATGATTAAGCAGATTAAACATACTTCTAGTGGGCGTAGCGTAATAATTTTTTCACATATCAATCCTAATCCCCACCTGACTACTCCATTCAACGTCACAGTGACGTAATATAGGCCTTCGAAATATGCGGACTGTCATCCAAGACGCGCTAGTCTGGCGCGTTATAGATTTGACGCCAGACATTCGGGCGCCGACGAGTTGCAGTGGATTTGAAAATAGCAACGATATTCTGTTTGATTGGATCAATATTGGCTAACCTATACATCAACAGTTTTCTGTGGATCATAAATTCATGGCATTAAATGTTGGAAATGTAATTTGATTAAATTTCTTGAAAATGACAATGAACAAAAAGCCTTTTCGCTCGATTTGACGATTTCAAATCCCTCAATTTGGAACGGCAACATGGTTCGAAATAGAAAAATAGTGAGCGGTCGTGGGAAACTGAGTAAAAAAAAAATATATAACCAGGGATGAATTGTCGTAAATGAGTTCGGTTTTGTGAATTTAAAAAAGTGATTTAAATCAAAGTTGCCTATTGCCAAATCGCTGTTTTGTCGTGATTTATACGCGACCAACATTTAAATAGGTCAACCATTATATGAATGCTGAATAACGTTTATCGTGCGACTATTTTCGACGTGGAGTTTGCCAGACGGTATCAAAACATCGGCTATAACAAAATCAACTTTGATCAGTGAATATTCGGATTTAATTACTATAATAGAAAATAAAACGAGACGTTTAAGATTGAAAACAACTTGAAAGTGCCCCACCGGAAACTCTACGCACGTCATTATCATCACCGCTCGTGACGTGGATTGAACATCTGGCATTTACGCAATGACGTAAAGCGCGTTTTGTCTCCACGCACTCACTTTTCGCTCGAGTTGCGGTGACGCAGGGAGGTGATTCCCCTATCCGAAGTTAGATATTTATTGGTGTAGTGAAAAATGAGACAATTAGGATATGAAAAATGATCCAATTGACGCAAAAATTAAATGCATGTACAGAGAATTACATCAATGTAATATATTTCAAGTTTGACGCGAATCGGACAAAAAATGGCTGAGTAATTGATTAGAGCAGGGCTACTCGACTATTTTCATCGAAGGTCCGCAAACAAAACTTCAAAATTATTTGGGTCCGGTCATTCCATAAATGATATTTCGTCAAATTAAAATTGTTCATTATGGGGTTATTGTTTTTTTTCGTATATATTCAAAACTATGAAAGTCATTTTATAATAGGAAATTCAATAAGTGGGGCTGATGATCCAAAATAAATAATTAGGTGCGGTCCAAATCCAATACTCGAAAGGTCCGGATTCGGACCGCGGTCCGCCAGTTGAGTAGCCCTGGATTAGAGTATTATGAAATCATCCGAAGTTAGCAAGTTTTACGGTATATGTGATTAGTTTAATATTGACTGAAAAATTTTAGAAATCACAGATTTGGAAAACAAATATTCGTGAATGAAAGCAACTGGATCACTGGTCATCTTTAATTGGAGGCTGTGCCATACATACTTAATATTTACTGTTTTCTTATTAGCAATTTTAATATTCTAGAATAAAATACATTTCTATATCTTTATATGGTAGCACACTTTGTAATAAGACGTTAAACTTGTGATAATACATGAATATAAACGAAAAATTATCGGTGCCAAATCAAGCTTCAATATACAGATATAGTGCTCACTGTGGCACACACAAAGCAGCAGTGTAAGCACAAACAATGAAGTGGCTGACACCGTCACAGACTAGCTGGGACACCCCAGGCTACTTATCTTTTCTGGCTTTCCATATTATATAAATAAATAAATGCCTGGCTATTTAAAGAACTGCATTTATATTCGAATATACTTAATTCAAAACCCCAGAGCAACTTAATTTATCTACTGATCGATTCATGCCTGATCGTAAAAGCAACTGTAAATGGAATATTGTTCCTACGCGGAAAAATTATGAATATAAACGAAAAATTATCGGTGCCAATCAAGCTTCAATATACGGATATAGTGCTCACTGTGGCACACACAAAGCAGCAGTGAAAACACAAACAATGAAGTGGCTGACACCGCCACTCAACTGGCAGAGAAGTCGATTCATGCCTGATCGCAAAAGCAACTGTAATGAAATATCGATCCTACGCGGAAAAATTACATTTGGATTAAACAAAAAAAGTATTTAAAAGACGTGTTTCTTCTGGTTTTGGAATCAAAACAGACGATAAGTTATATATATATAGCAGTATTATCAATAAAAGTTCCATTTTTTAACTGTTATTGTATGAAAAAAGTCGCCGATAACGCGTGCAATTGCCTTCTGCTAAAATCCCCGTTTGTTTTCATCAACGCGGCGTGTTATTTAGGCCGTAAACGCCTTATCATTGGTGTTTATTCTCTCTAAATCACAAATTTGTGCCACGGGAACTTTTTGTACTAGCACGGAATTGTAAAAACTGAAAAAGCGTGCAATTGCCTTCTGCTAAAGTCGCCGATTGTTTTCATCAGCGTGTTATTTAGGCCGTAAACGCTTTTACGTCGGTATTTATTCTCTCTAAATCACAAATTTGTGCCACGATAAACATGATGATTATTTTATTTTTGTACTTTGCACGGAATTGTGAATTCGGTGAGAGTTATTATACGTTCATCGGCGGCGAGGTTCTAAAGACAAATGAAGGAGTAAATCCGCGATCTAAATTTGGTTGAAAAGCGGCAATATAATTTACTGAAAATAAAACCGTAAACAATATAAGTTTTGTTTGAGTCCCGCGACAGTCTAAAAACGCTTCTCTAGTCATTGAAAATTGCAAAATTTCGTGTGCCGTTATGTCTCCTCGCCGTTTAGGAACATACCGCCATTAAAATCGAAACACGATTTCGATTTTTCGAAAGTTTTTTTTTTTAAATATAATCGGAGTGGCAGCATCGCAATTGAACGAAGTCAATGTTACAAGCACATCTCAAATTTGTCAAATTCGCAAAATAGAAGAAATACGGATCAAAACAATATATAATAGGGCAGTTTACCACACATTTTTATGTCCGCGGAATTCCGTGGTGTTTTAGAGCGGCTCTTGTTTTGTCGGCGCAACCGCAGGTTAAATTGAAGACAATTAAATTAGTAAAGCAGGACATTTTAAATATGCCCTTATCGGTCATGGATTGGTACCTTGCGCAAGAGAAAAATTATTTTTTGTTGGAAAAGTCGGCTCTTTTAACAAGTGACGTAATCGCGGCGACTGATCGGCGTGGATTTCGAGGCGGTGGATTTGTATTTTTGATTTACTGGTATACTTTATATATGTTTTCATTGTATGAAGTAAAATTGTACTAAACGTGATTTTATATCAGATATCGAGATTTTACTAACGGCGATAACGAGGTCACAAGATTGCAAAAGTACGTATCAAAATTAAATATATCAGGAAGCTCATCTCATTGTTTTATGTCCACAGATCGCCGTGGTATTTTAATACAGTAATGTTTTTTTTCATTTTGACGTAGAAAGTCGAGACCGCGAGTTGCGTTGGACACAATTAAATTAATATACGAGGACAATTAAGAATCTCGTAGTTGTCATGAATTGCATATTTTACGCGACAGAAGCTGAAAAGGCGGCTCTATTTGACTGTTACAGATGGCGCTGGATTGATAATACTGTAAAATATTCATTAACTGATCGTTATCTTTCGTGTCGAAGGTAATTAAATACTGTTAGATATTTTATCCAGATGTAATTTTTCCGCGTAGGATTCATTTAAAAATAATTCTGGGCATTTGCTGCAGTGACCAAGGTATTCCGCTGCTTTTTGCTTGGATAAGATCACAGGTGCCGATAGGATAGGATTTACATATTTATCCCGGGGGAGAGGAAAGCCGATAAGACGGCTTATCCATATGGCGAACCACGGCCTCTCGTCCGGTTACCGTTCCAAGTCGGGTATGGGATTAGTTATATTGTTTGTTTTCGGAAGCATGGACTTGGTGGTGGAGGAAGCCGTAACCAACCACCCAACGACGGCGAGGAGTCCAGCAATCCTCTCGCACATAACCATTCCTGCTTGGGATTCGAACCCACACAGAGTAATTAGAGGTGCGGTGGCGATCGTATTACTAACGCTCAGCCCGTTGAGCCACACCGCTGCGTCGGTACCGTAAAAGCAGGTACGGTAACTTCGGATGAAATTTTTAATCGTTTATATCTCGACTAAATTTCGTCATATTGTGCTTATGGCAGTTTCTATAGTGAAGACTTATATATCTAATTCTGTTATCATATTCAATCGCGCAGTTCAATTAATTTTTTACCCAAAAAAATCACGTTTTAGCATAAAATTGACGGATCGTGACTTCAACTGATTCTAACTTCGTCAAAATAGCGTCATTCGATAGAGGGCGTTATCAATGTATATAGAAAATTAGACTGATCGCGAGATGTCGAAGGAGACCCGATAAAAAGTTAAAATTCGAATAATTTTTTTTATCACAATAATAGCATCTGACGCACACGTTGAACCTGACGTCGCTCACTTCGAAGACGACGTCATGTTGCGTCGCCGTTACATATTTGACGCCAGACATTCGGGCGCCGACGAGTTGGCGTAGTTTTGAAAATAACAACGATATTTTGTTTGATTGATAAATATCGACTAAAATATACGCATCAACAATTTTCTGTGGATCGTAAATTCATGGCGTTAAATGCTGGAAATGTAATTCAAATAAATTTATTAAAAATGGCAATTAACGAAAAGCATATTCATTCGATTTGACGATTTCAAAATGGCAACATGGTTCAAAATAGAAAAATTGTAAGCAATCGAGAAATATTGCGTAAATATAAAAATATATAACCAGCGATAAATAACAGCAATCATTGTTGCAAGTGAGTTCCGTTTCGTGAATTTAAGAAAAGTAATTTTAATGAAGTTGCCAATTGCCAAATCGGTGTTTTGTCGTGATTTATGCACATAGGTCAATTCAATAAAGAATCCGGTCATGTGCATGCTCAATAAAATACATGGTGTGGAGTGTAAAAATCGCCATCAAAACATTATCGGCTATAACAAAATCGACTATGATCGGTGAATATTCGGATCTAAAATTACGATAAGAGAAAATAAAACGAGACATTTTAGTATAAAAACAACTTGAAAGTGTAGCGCCGTAAATCCTACGATCGACATTATCATCGTCATTCGCGACGTGGATTGAACATCTGGCATTTACGCAACGACGTAAAGCGTGTTTTGTCTTCACGCACGCACTTTTCGCTCTAGTTGCGGTGACGCAGGGAGGGGATACACCCATCCGAAGTTAGATATTTATTTAATTCGTTAAAGATCACAGAAAATGAGACAATTAAGCCAGAAAAAATAATCCGATCGTCGAGAAAATTATATGCAGATGCAGAGAATTACATCAATGTAATATATTTCAGTTTGACGCGAATTGGACAAAAAACGGCAGAGTTATTGATTAAAATATAGTGAAATCATCCGAAGTTAGCTGCTTTTACGGTACCGGTACGCGTTCTGGTTTTTTGCAATGTAGAACGCTAGAGAAGATAACTCTGATTTTTACTTGTATTCCATATAATAATCTGAGATTGTCTCTGTCATGGCTTGGCGCTGTGTCGCATCGTGCTTGGATACGGTACCTTGTGTCTGTGTATGATTTTGCAGGTTCGAACCATCAAGTCCATGCGTCCATGAAATAAATAACTGGCTATCGTTACCACAATGTGAAACCGGATAAATTCGGAAGGTTTCACTACCGCGGTAACAAGACAAGTGGCTTTGGTGATTAAGAGACTGAATTTATTGCTGTATTGTCTTTCCCCTCGGATGAATATGTGAAATCCTTGATGTACGAACTGACTTTTGTTCATGTCCATGGCAGAGGTGAAAATGAGTAACACCATAATATGATGACATTGATGAGGGCTTTATTGACTTGAATTTGTAAGCAACATAAATTATTTCTAATGAAGTTTTTATAAATCAATAAATAACTTTATATAATATATATTCTGTTGGGCCATAATTTTTTGCAAAAGATGAAAGTTTATACTAATAGTGTTACTGAGAAGACAATAGTCCTAATAATAAGATCAGGGCTAATGGTTAGGTATATATGGTGTGGCCTTCTATCAAGATGTCTTATCACAATACCAGTGATCCAGTTGTTTTCATTCATGAATATTTGTTAATCACATAATTGTGTGCAAATCTATTTAACCTATATATATACCAACACCAGATCAAGTTTACAAACTAACATTGGAGAATGGAGATGAACGATTTTTTCTGCCAGCAATGTGGAAAGAACTTCAAATTAAAATGGAATTTAAAAGAGCATATGAGAACTGATACCGAAGAAATACCTTATACTTGTGAGCAATGCGAAAAGGATTCCTCGCGATTATTTCAATCACAAAAGCATGATCGAACTGATACCCGACAAAAGCCTTATATTTGTAAACGATGTGGGAAGAGTTTTTCACAATCATCTGATTTACGAGTACATGAGCGAACTCATACGGGAGAAAAACCGTATATTTGTAAACAATGTGAGAAGCGTTTTTCAGGATTATCTAATTTACGAGTACATGAGCGAACTCATACTGGAGAAAAACCATATGTTTGTAAACAATGTGGAAAGAAATTTTCACAATCATATAATCTAAAATCGCATGAGCTAACTCATACAGGAGAGAAACCATACGTATGTGAACAATGTGGGAAGGGATTTTCACAATTATCTCATCTAAAATCGCATGCGCGTACTCATACTGGAGAGAAACCATACGTATGTGAACAATGTGGGAAGGGATTTTCACGATTATCTCATCTAAAATCGCATGCGCGTACTCATACTGGAGAGAAACCATACGTATGTGAACAATGTGGGAAGGGATTTTCACGATTATCTCATCTAAAATCGCATGCGCGTACTCATACTGGAGAGAAACCGTGCGTTTGTAAACATTGCGGGAAGGGCTTTTCACAATCCTCTTATCTAAAAGTGCATGAGTCAACTCATACAGAAGAAAAACCGTACGTTTGTGAACAATGTGGAAAATGTTTTTCACAATCCTCTTATCTAAAAGTGCATAACTCAATTCATACGGAAGAAAAACCATACAGTTGTAAACAATGTGGGAAGAGATTTTCACGATTATGTCATCTGAAAGTACATAAGATAACTCATACAGGAGAAAAACCTTTTGCTTGTGAACAATGTGGAAAATATTTCCCATCAAAATCAAATTTACAAAGACATCTGCTAATCCATACAGGCAAGAAGTCTTGTTTGTAAACATGGAAAGTGTTTTTGACATTTACACACTTCGCAGAGCTTACCCAGGAGGAAAACCCTTCTACTTGGCAACAACGTGAAATAGTGATTTGAACCCACAATAGGAAAGATCTTGGGATATAAAACAACAATCCTGCCTTCAACCGTTCTTCTGAAATACTATCAGTCGCGGGAGAACGAGATTCTTCACATTCATAAGATTGAACCGGAACAGCAAAGTGGATGCACCCACCAGAATTTAATCAAACAAGAACATTCAAGTATCCAGTGTATAAATTGCCTCATCTCAAGTTTCAGCATCTTCCCTGCAATCCCGTATTGTATACGCCCATATTTAAATTTATCCATCTATTCCAACTCCATAATCAGCATATCAGAATTGATAAAACTGATTACAAAATCAGGAGAAACTATCGAAACCTTGGACAAGGTTTTTCTAAGAATAAATGGTATGTTTCATACTGCTTTCGGTAGATTATGAACTAATATGATAGTGCTATTGTTGTCAGATTATTTGAAGGCCGAATTCTTTATCATCGCAATGTAACCAATTCAAAATAAGATGGCATCTAACTTTGTAGAACTCGTTCAATCAAAATGATTCATTTTACTTCTCGTTCAGCTTGAAAAGGCTTAGTTTTTTTGCATATTTTCATCCTTGATATTTGGCTTACAAATAATATCAAAAAAATTACGGGAAGGAAAAATTTTGCTCTATTAACATTATCCAACATAATGTTCGTTTATTGTATTTTGTTCTCGTCATGACTGTTTTCTGTTCAACAAAACAATAACAGTGGATGATTTCACGGTTTTTGACCACTATCAAATTCTTCCTATACTTTACCACTGCAAAATTATTTATGGTAAAACTGGTGTTTCGGGATTATGTATGTCAGTTTATTGTTCATGTTTTTATTGTCCCTGCTTGAGTGTCACAATGCTCACAAGCTTCGGGTATCTAATCTTTTTTGTTTTTCATTTATATTGTATGTATAGGACTGATTGGAGCGGCAGAGAATGTGGTACAGCTATTTCACAGTGCTACAGAGCTTAATCCCAGTTAGAGAATCTTTGCTCCCCCATTTAAATTTCCTTACCATGTTTGGTGGCGTGTAGCAATATTACCATGGCCAAATTTAAATCAATTGTTGCTTTTTAACATCGAGGGGGTGGTTTTTTACTCAGATACGTCAGCTGCTATTCATTTTTGAAAACTTTTTTCAAACCAATAAGAGAAGTCATTTTATTTCTGATAATAACTGTATAATTTGTCCTGAACTTTAAACTTGTGAGAGAAAATAAAATATTTCATGGAAATGGCTGATAGTAAAATTGAACGCACTTTTTGGGAACCGCTGCTATATGGTATTGATCGATTTGGGTCCCCGATTTTATGCAGAAGATAAGAAATTCTCCAATGTATCTACAAAAATATAAATTAGGCTCCGGGCCAGTCGGTGTTCGTCTGTTTGTCATAGTGACGGGTGTGCTTTCACAGAAACTCAAATAAATACAAATAATCTGCAGGCATCCATTGGCCTTCAATAAAATTTAATCACCCAACCCATCCGACGCAAAGATGAAGACGAGGCATCAACCATTCGAAGATTAAATTAAAGAACTCTAAATGAACAACATGTTCTGTTGCATAATTTCACTCATTTATTTTTTGTGGATCATGAACAAAATGTTCAAAACCATTCCATCATGCAGATAGTAATAACTTTTGGATGAAATGAGAGTGATCTCTTCGATAAATCCCCCTTTAAGGCTTCGTATTTTCTAATCCGAGATGAAAGTGCGATGCAAAAGGCTATTCTTCTAATTCCAGATGTGGTAATTTTAGCTCTCATACATTCTGCTGGTTGCACACCTTAGTTGTAAGTACAATTCCTCACTTGGCAGCCTAAGAATCACCAATACCTTCTGAAGTGAATGTACAAGTTATGCCATTTAGTTCGCCTCCAGTAGCACGTGATATGTGTATATCGCAACAAGCAAAGCGTGCATCGAGGAAAACTTATTCAGGATTATACTAATAGCCCTCTTTGAGCACGTAGTGGACATAACGATCGAATGCTGGACCAATTGCTTTTTTCCAGAAGGTTATTATTTTTTTTCTCAATGTGATGTGGCGCTACGTGTCCATATATTTGAGCATAGCTCTCTTGCTTCATTGATAAACTCACGGAAATTACAATTTGTTTTCAGTTAGTAGCGTAAGTTGCAATCTAGAACAGATTAGATTTACTCTTGAATTACGGGTAAATTCAGGTAACTCTTCTGTAACTTTTTGATAACATATGTAATATAAAATTCATTACGATTTCTTTATAAATGGAATATTACGAAAACTGAAATTACGCGATGTTATTGTTTATTTCATACTGAACGTCACGCAACACCGTAAATCCGATTAGGATTTGAAATTGCGTCACGACATGAATACGCGCAAGTTTCTAAATATTCGATTGCGGATAATTCTCATGTATATAAGATACGCGATGGAACTATATCAGTTAAATTAAGTCTCGATTGTATGAAGGCAGTTCGCTGATAGGATAGTTGTATAAAAGCTCATGATTTGGAAGTAAGAACTCAATTATAAAACCGGTTTGAAAACTTGGTTCAGTACAGGTTGCTGAATTTTAAACCAGATAGTGTCGAAGAGAGGGTTAATTGATGATTCCAGAAGTGAAAACAAACAAGAATATCGGTTAATTGGACGTTATCATATGACAGGACACATTTAAAACAAGAGAGCTATGCTCAAATATATGGACACGTAAAATCACATCATTTTGATGGCGTCATAGCGAAAAAAAAAGTAATACCCTTCTGGAGCAAAATTTTATCTTCAACTACTGAAAATTTTAAAGCAGTTGGTCCAGTATTCGAAGAGAAAAACAATTTTTTAATAATGACGAAGACAAATAACAACAATCACAACAAAATTTTAAAACGATCGTTATGTCCACTACGTGTCCAATAACCATAAAATCTTTATTTCAGTTCGCATTTGGTTAACGAGAGTAGCGATCACGAATTTATTTAACAAATGCTTCACGCGTCTATATGCCTATTTGAAATACTATGCCGTTCCTAAAAAGGTCTTTAACCTTTATAATCCGGCAGAATCGGTCCTTAACATTGTTTTGGGACATTAAGTTTTTTTTATTGTTTAGATATAATGTCGATGACATAAATAACGATACCCAGGTGGGTGTGGAGTATATAATGTTGAACAATTTTTTAAGTGGATTTTAAGTAGTTGTACCAAGATGACGCACATCCTGAACCCTAGCCTGGTAAACATACAAAGTTCAGGTTGTGCGCCATCTTGGTCGAATTCTTCAAGAGCACCTTTTTGTTAAAAACAATTATTTCATAATTACGTAGCATGGCCGAAATTCAATTTTAGCAGAATAAATGGTAGTTTATTTCACTAATACAAGCCAAGATCCATCGACAGCATCTAGCCACTTTCTTTTGCGCTCTTCAAGCTACATTTGCGTTGCCGCGAGCATTTCGTTTTCCTACTTTAATCTTAGGGAATTGGGAAATATTTTATTAGTTGAATTGAATTAGGGAATTGGAATATTTGACCTCGCTGCGAACAAGGCCATGTAGAACCATCCACTGGTATCTAACGATGTGTAAAGTGTTTTCTTTTGGTATAACCGGGACCTTTCAGGTGCAGCATTAACTTTGGCAGGATTAATATATCTTTGGGGAGACAGAAGGTATACGTATGCCAGGGGTCGGCAACCTACGGCCCGCGGAGCAATATAATCTGGCCCGCGAGGCTTCGCTGAATTTAGTGACGATTATAGTCTTTACGTAACAGAATTTATTGTGAGACACGTGTATAGACTAAATTATATTATACCCTAACAAGTATATAATTTACAATTACTCGTTTAATGAGCCTATAAGTAGACAAATTGCGGCCGCCAGACCTACGGCCCGCGGAGCAATATAATCTGGCCCGCGAGGCTTCGCTGAATTTAGTGACGATTATAGTCTTTACGTAACAGAATTTATTGTGAGACACGTGTATAGACTAAATTATATTATACCCTAACAAGTATATAATTTACAATTACTCGTTTAATGAGCCTATAAGTAGACAAATGGCAACCAAACGCAGAAAAGTTGGTGCTAACTGCAAATGGTTTAATAGCGCAGAAAATATTTGAATGTTCAATCTTCGCGCGCATCTTAAAATTTAACTTCTGGCCTGTATGAAAAATGTGATTCGTCGGCCATCCGTTCGGTTTCTAACTTTCTAAGAATGTGCGAGGACCGCCAATGACTTGTAAACTTTCGAAAGGTTGCCGTCCCCTGACGTATGCGAAACCGAAATGTGCACCTGTTATGCCAACTTAGTTGAGTCAAACATTTCGAACACTAGCACATCACACACATTTTGCTGCGTGCTTCGGTTGTAGGTAAAAACGCGCACATTTTTGCGCACATGCATTAAATTCCACTTGTTTATTGAGCTATAGGTTTTTGACGAGCTTCAATTATAAAACAAAACTTGATTTAAAATAGGTTGTTCATTTTTGAAAACTTGGTTTATTATAGGTTGCTGAATTTTTAAACCAGATAGTGTCGAAGAGAGGGTCATTTCTATGTAATAAGATTCTATCCATAAAATGTACCTTGTTTTATTATCCCCGAAATACATTAATATTAATACATTATCATTATTTAGGGCATTTGAGCTAAGGGTACATCTTTATATCCAAGGAGATAATAGCGTTGAGACCTTCGTTTATCATTCTGTAGTTGATAAAAGACACGTCAGCGATGATAAAACAAAGAGATGTAAAACAGAACAAATGGTAATCTTGAGAAAAGGCAAAAATTCGTTGATACTCATTTCTTACAATAACAAACAAAGAAAAGAAACCGCTAAAAATAAAATGAGAATATCGGTCGGAGACAGAGGACTTATCGATCTAGCGATAATTAATTAATAACTCGCTATTATACGACATAATTAACCCAAAATCTATAGGCTTCTGGTCCGAGATATGATGCATGCATGTGCAAAATTTGGAGCAGATTCTAACAGACATACAGACAAATACCTATCAATATACTTACCTATCTTAAGATCGATAAGTAACAACTGATAATAATCATTCAGGTAGATTGAAGTGCAAATTCAAAATCATTCTGACTGGATAATTACTAATTTGATATTTAAAAAGATGACAGAGATGTTTCTTTTCTTAAAATCTCACATTTTTTTTGCATTAGTGGCGGGGGCCTTGTACACAAGATACCAGTTTAAATATTTCATCACACGTTCTTGGATAGAAGTTTAGCTCCAGAAGTATGTGCACCAAGAAGACGCACAACTTGAACATAGTATGTGTACCGGGTTAAGGTTCAGGTTGTGTGACATCTTGGTGCACATACTATGGTGCGCCGAAGTTTTATAATAATATTAATCATACTACAGCGAATCATAATTCCTTCCCAAAATGAGCAAAATTCTTCCCTGGTTGGGAAATGTTATTTGAGACAACCATAAGAGGTACATGACAGCATCATTAATCGAACCCACCGGATAACTTATGGGAATTCCCCGATTGACAGGCACTGAAGTGTGTGAATTGATTGAGGTATACTAGTTGCTATGGTAATGTGTCATTTAAATCGATCAGTGGAGCAGTGCAGGCTGGGCATTGATATACACAGTGGCGGCGCGTCAATAGGGCCAACCGGGGCAATGCCCCGGTTGTTTTTTCAGTATAATAAAAAATATTCGAAAAATACCTCAATATCGGTTGCACAGACTGTCTACACTAGCCATATTCTCCGGACATGGTTCATTTTTCGCTCGCAAAGCCTTCGCCGAACGTCGACGGGGCGACGCCGATTTTGCCCCGGTTGCTCATTGTATATCGTATTCTCTCTTTTATCTTCCACTCGCCGCGTTTGTCTCGTTTGTTTTCTGTTTCTTTTACTAAATCATCGGGGCTAGCACCGAAATTACAACAACGTGTTGACATATTCACGCATTCCTTCTCGTTCGTTGGTTGCTTGAAGAGTTGATAGTTTCCTCGCCTTCGTTTCTGTCGCTCGTTTCGCTATTTGAATCAGTTAGAGACCTTTAGTCCATTTGCTTTCGATTTTCCACATTTCTTTTGAGCTCCTCACTTCTTTCCGGCTTCGCATTTCTTAGCCTTAGACCTCATAATGAATAAGGTTGATGCACTACTTCGCACTCCGTTTTCGCAGCTGACGCTGGAACAAAAATTAGAGGTACAACGTCTTGGGCCTTATCAACCAAAAAAATGTTCACTGGAACAATCCCATGACGGAGGAAAGCGTCGGCGTACATTCTGCGCAGAAACTTGGTATAAAAAACACGAATGGTTGTGTTACAGCGAAGACAAAAATGCACTTTTTTGTTTTTATTGCCTACTTTTTGCTACCGCCCGTGACTCACGTTGGTGTAAATTTGGTTTTAGAGATCTTAAACATCTTTCCGAGCGTGCCAGGGATCATCAATCTTCTATGGAGCATCTGGACAATGCAGTAAAATACCGAACATTCGGAAATGTTAATATTGCAGCACAGTTGGATGAAGGACGCGCGGTTTCTATTCGTCGGCACAACCAAAACGTCGAGAAAAACCGCCATGTTCTCGGTCGATTGATAGATGTTTTGAAGTTCATTGGTTGTCACGAGCTGTCCCTCCGGGGGCACGAACGGGCTGGCTCTTCTAATAGAGGGGTATTTTTGGATATGGTGGAATACACCGCATCCCTAGATACAGTATTGAGAGATCATCTTGATGCCGCAACTGTTTTGAAAGGGACATCTAAGGATATCCAAAATGATTTGCTCGACTCAATGTATAAAATTTATTTACAACATTTGGCTCTGGAAATTGAGAATTGCCAGTTCCTTTCGATTCAGTCTGACGAGACAACTGACATCACGTGCGTTTCCCAACTGGCTGTGATTTTTCGGTTTGTGAAAGATGGTAAACCTACCGAGAGATTTCACAGCTTTGTACCAATCGTTGATCGCACGGCTTGCGGGATATCGGCTGTACCGAAAGAAGTGTTACAGCCCTACAACGCGAAGTCAAAATTGATAGCTCAAACTTATGACGGCGCGGCAGTCATGAGTGGGTCGAAACATGGTGTTCAAGTTTATATAAAAGAAGATTTTCCTCGTGCGCATTTTTTACATTGTTATGCACACCAATTTAACCTCGTTATTAAAAATATGTGTCTTGATACCCTCTCGTCCGTATATTTTTTGCAAATGTTTCGGGGTTTTCTTCATTTTTTTCCGTTTCGCCGAAGCGCTCTGACCTCCTTCGCCAGATATGTAGCCGCCGTCTCCCAGCTTGTGCACCAACACGTTGAAACTTCCAATCACGCGTGGTGCAGGGCGTGTCCGAAATTAGGTCTGAGCTCATTGAGTGTTCAATGGCATTCAGAGCTCTCCGGTTTGGGACGAACGCTATGTGAGGGAGGCGGCAGGTCTAAAGCGTCTGCTAGAAGATGGTGAGTTTTCATTTTTTCTCGATTTTTTCTCCACAATATTCTATCACGTGGATGTATTATACGGCGCATTGCAGTCAAGGCTAATGGATGGAGCGTCTGTGCAGTCGTTTATTTCAGACTTCTGCGATGCTGTATCTCGTATCCGGGAAACAATAAAATACGACGACACATGGAGTGCTTCTTTACGCCGCGGGCAAACAACGCAGCGTTTGATTTTATCTGCAAAGGAATGCTGTCAAATAGGCGATCGTCTGCGCACTGAACACCTTGCCGCGTTCTCTTTGATGAACCCCAAAAATTTTTCAAAATTTGCACGTCAATTTCCCATCCATTTGTTGGCTACTGTCTCCAAATTTTACCCCATGATAAACGTGGGTAAATTGGAAAATGAATTGCGATGTATATACACCAATCAAACTTTTTTGAACATCACATCAACTTTCTGGACATCATTTTGACGACGCCTATTTCTTCCGCCGACGCAGAGCGAACATTCAGCACGCTGAAGCGTATTAAAACGTATCTCAGAAACACAATGAAGCAAGATAGATTGAATTCCTTGGCTGTTTTATCCATTCACAGAGACGTTGTTTCTGGGATGCATGACTTCAATCAGCGCGTTATTGAGCATTTTGCTTCCAAGAAACCGCGGCGTGTTGCATATATGTTCAAGCAGTAGAAGTCTAGCAGCATATATATCTATGAGTGAGCGACGCATGTCCTTATCTTTGCATTAACTTTCCTTTCTTCATAGTAACGTTTTAAACCTTATTTTAGGTTTTGTCTGCTTTCCCGAAGTTTCTGTTAATATGTCATTGTATTTATCTGGGTAAATATTGCCTTTCCTTTTGAAAGAGGTTTCAAAATAAACTATGTCTATATTTATTAATCCCTTGACTTGGACCGGTTTTAAAGACACTTTCTTATCGTTAAAAATTGTCGCTTTTGCCGATTGGTTGTTACCGATGGAATGGTTTTTATACTCATAAAATGATGGGAGAACTTACAGCGCTCATCCTGTCCCCGTAGATGGGGGTGACTTGGTCCCGCAGTAGCTTGCCCCGGTTGTCAAAATGACCACGCGCCGCCACTGGATATACACATGATGAAATGATAAAGAATTAATATTATTCTAATTGCATGAATAGAATAACCAGATCTATGTTCACATCATGTACAAATATAAAGTCGTTCACATATGAAATGCTGTTTACAACGTATTGTCCTTTCTGTATTGCTCCCATGTATGATACTTATAACAAGAATAGATAATTATCTTTAATTGTATAATAGTGATGAAATGCTTTACATATTGTTTATAAATGTAAGATTTCTCTTCCGTATGACTTTGCTCCAATTGCTCGTGTACATAAAAACAGGACAATTACACAAAAACATCTGCGAAATGATAAAAAAAAGGCACGCACTGATATCAAGTATGCGGAATGAGTTTGTTCATGTCTATATAAACGAGATAATTGCAAAAAACTTTCCACATTGGTTACAAACATGAGGTTTTCTCCAGTTCCAGTTCATTCATGCAGAGCGGATGATAGACCGCTTTTTTTATGCACCTGTGAATAATGTGACTTTGAAAAACTTTATTGCATCATTCACAGGAATACGGAAAACTCTTTCCACATCGTTTACGAACATGTTTCTCTCCATTATGAGTTCGTTCATGCACATGTAAAGTAGATAATTGTGAAAAACACTTTCCACATTTATTACAAATAAAAGGCTTGTTACCTTGTATGACTTCGCTCATGACTACGTAAATTGGATAATTGTGAAAAACCCTTTCCACATTGTTTACAAACATGAGGTTTCACTCCGATATGAGTTCGCTCATGCATTTGTAAACTGAATATTTGTGAAAACCCCTTTCCACATTGTTTACAAACATAAGGTTTCTCTCCGGTATGAGTTCGTTCATGCCTTTTTAAATCAGATAATCGTGAAAAACCCTTTTCACATTGTTTACAAACATGGGGTTTCGCTCCGCTATGAGTTCATTCATGCATTTGTAAATTGAATAATTGTGAAAAAATTTTTCCACATTGTTTACAAACATAAGGTTTCTCATCAGTATGAATTCGTTCATGCCTATTTAAATTGGATAACTGTGAAAAACCCTTTCCACATTGTTTACAAACATGGGGTTTCTCTCCGCTATGAGTTCGTTCATGCATTTGTAAATTGAATAATTGTGAAAAAAATTTTCCACATTGTTTACAAACATAAGGTTTCTCTCCGGTATGAGTTCGTTCATGACTTTTTAAATCAGATAATCGTAAAAAACCCTTTCCACATCGTTTACAAACATATGGTTTCTCTTTAGTATGGGTTCGCTCATGCACACGTAAACTGGATAATTGTGAAAAACGCTTCCCAAATTGTTTACAAACATAAGGTTTCTCTTTAGTATGGGTTCGTTCATGCCTATGTAAATTAGATGATTGTGAAAAACTTCTTCCACATTGTTAACAAATACAAGGCCTGTCACCTGTATGAGTTCGCTCAGGCACACGTAAATTGGATATATACGAGAAACTCTTTCCACATTGTTCACAAACATGAGGTTTCTCTTTAGTATGAGTTCGTTCATGCAATCGTAAACTAAATATTTGTGAAAAACTCTTTCCGCATTGTTTACAAACATAACGTTTCTCTCCAGTATGATTTCTCGTATTCATACATGAATTTCTCTTCCATTTTAAGTTTTTTCGACATTGTTGGCAAACATATGGCTTATCTCCCCTGTTGGTTTGTAACTTATTATCGCATTTTCCAGTTGGAACAGCCAAACCACTTTTTCTACATTGTGCATGAACATCAGAATTCTCTTCATCAACACTTAGTGAACGAGTTTTATTTGTGATAACCTTTCCACAATTCTCGCCGGTGTTGGTATGCTGACTAGTTCCCACATCGTTATCAGATGGATATTGGTTTAAATCTTCTGTGCCATTACGATTTTCACCATGATTGTGCAAAAACATATGCTCTTCCAAATCGAGTCCCGATGAAAAGTGTTCATCACAGACATCCTTGGTAGATTTGATTATCTTTGTATAATTTTCCATAATGCAGAATATCTATGAAATGCTAACAATTTTTTTACATTTTGCAAACACTGGCCATGTTCATATAATAAATACAAAAATCAGCTAAATACCGTAAAACCGGATAAACTTCGGATGAAATTTTCAATCGTTTATATCTCGACTAAATTATGTCATATTGTGCTTCTGGCAGTTTCTATAGTGAGTCCTTATATATTCAAATCTGTTATCATATTCAATTGCGCAATCCGTTTTCAAGCGTTGCGACTTCTACTGATGCTAACTTCCTTAAACTACCGTCATTCGATAGAGGGCGATAACAATGTAAATAGAAAATTAGACTGATAGCGAGATATCGCAGGAGACTCGTGAAAGAATTGATATTCGAATAATTTTCATTTATTAAAATGATCGTAATCATGATCGTAATGATCTTAAGAAAACTTGGCGTACTATGAACGATCTGCTTGGGCGTTCTGGTTTACTCATACTAGAAGGGATGACTTTAAGCAATATATGGGGCATCCCAGTAAAACCTCCATGTTTCTTGCCCCGACAACAGCTTTCGAAGTCCAAAATATTCTGAAATCTTTTCGACCCAAAACCAGTTGTGGAATAGATGGAATTCCCTTTAAAGTTATACGAATGATGCCCTGGAATTGTATTTGTGCTCTCGCACATATCTTTAACTGCTCATTACAATCTGGTAAATACATAGACCAGTTCAAATTATCCAAAGTTATGCCATTGTTCAAAAAAGGAAATGCAAAAGATGTAAAAAACTACCGACCGATCAGCTTACTTCCCGCATTTTCAAAAATTCTAGAAAAAATTATGTACAAACGACTCAACCATTTCCTAGACCAAAAAATTTCTTTTATTCACAACAATTTGGCTTTCGTCAAAATCATTCAACATCTCATGCAACATCCCTGCTTGTCAGTAAAATTCTAGAAGGATTTGATAAGAATGAGTATACTCTCAGTATGTTCTTGGACCTTTCCAAGGCATTTGATAGTATTGACCATGACATATTACTAGCCAAATTGCACCATATTGGCGTTAGAGGTCAGAGTTATAATTGGTTTAAAAGCTACTTATCAGGAAGGAAACAAGTAGTTATATACAATGATGTAGCATCTAGCACATACTGTAATTTGACTGTAGGTACTTTACAAGGTTCTATTTTGGCTCCATTATGTTTTTCAATCATTATTAACGACTTTCCGAATTCTCTTCTTCACTCTGATATCATACTTTTTGCTGATGACTCAACGCCATATCTTCGAGGCAAAAACTTGCCTGAACTTTTGACCAAGGCAAATACCGACTTAGAAAATATTCAAGCTTGGTTGTCTGCGAACAAACTCACTATTAATGTCGATAAAACTAAATATATGATATTTAGCACGCCGAAGCAAAAGTGTCCAACTCTGCAACAAAATTTGGAATTAAATGGAATAAATATAGAAAGAGTTAATCAGACTCGCTTTCTGGGTGTAATGATCGATGATAAATTGTCTTGGAAACAACACACCAATATGGTTCTATCGAAAACAAGGTCGTCTCTTAGTGCCATTACGAAAATAGCCAACTACTTAAATACATCTTGTTTAATATCTCTATACCACTCTCTGATAGAAAACCATATTCGTTATTGTGCCTCAGCCTATGTTCATCGCCAATCGTCCATTCTCAAAAAAATTCAAAGTGTTTGCAATCGCTTTATTAGAAGAGTTTTTCATAGAGGTAATCGCGAAAAAATTGATGACTTATTTAAAGAGCATAGGCTACTACGAGTTGTGGATTTAGCTAAATTCGAACTATGTAATATGATGTTCTCTTGTCACATTGGAGAGCTTCCGTCCAGCCTGAACAGCCTGTTCCAAGCAAACCCAAATTCAAACAGCAGAAATAAAGATAATTTTTTTATTCCATTTGTCAGTAAAAGTATTTCACAAGAATCAATCGCAGTATGTGGACCAAAAGCTTGGAATTCCCTACCCGATGACATCAAAAATTCAAAATCGAACTCAGAATTTCGTTCCAAACTTAAACAATATATATTATCATCATATTAGCAATTTTCTCTGCTTTGAACATGTTACTGTTTGGAGATCATTTTTTTAAGGTCAATTCAACACTGAAAGGGAGAGCTGTTGATTATTTGGATTAAATGAACTATCAGGAAACTGTCCTCCTCTTCAGTCACCATAGACCAGCTGACAATTTCAATAACTCCACAGGATACTTCACCCGGATTCAATATAGAACAATGGACTTAATTAATAACTAGCACACCATTCTAATTTCATTATCATGCGTAATTAGACAACAACAAAAGCACAGCAATTTAGGTTATAGACAGAACGCTCAAATAGTAGGGAGTAGGGACAATTTGAGTAGCATGCTGTTCAATTTATTTCCATTGTTGCTACCACTTTTTCTTCTGCTCATCCCGGGATACCGTATAATCTTATTATTTTAATTTACATTGGAAAATCTTAATTTTTTTTTTTAGAAAAAAATTTCATTACTATATTCATATGCATTGTGTTTCATGTTGTGTTGTGTCTCTATTTATAGATGTTGTTTTGTCTAACAAACTCCTTTGTACAAACAGTTTTGTACACTCCACCCATATCCCTGTTACCGCATCCACCCACCCTCCTCGCACAACTGCCTGTATAAAAGACCATATTGTACATATTTGATTTACCCTATTATAATTTATATAAATCAAAGGGGTGTATGCCGCACATCTGTGTTTTAGGCCAATATGGTCTTGTGCATACATCCCGTCTTCAGTATTTATAAGTATTTACTCTTTTATATTGCTTTTACGAGACGAATAAACATACATACACATACATACAAAATAATAGCATCTGACGCACACGTTGAACTTGACGTCACACAGACGTCGCTCACTTCGAAGACGACGTCATGTTGCGTCGCCGTTATAGATTTGACGCCAGACATTCGGGCGCCGACGAGTTGCCGTGGATTTGAAAATAGCAACGATATTCTGTTTGGTTGGATCAATATTGGCTAACATATACATCAACAGTTTTCTGTGGATCATAAATTCATGGCATTAAATGTTGGAAATGTAATTTAATTAAATTTCTTGAAAATGACAATTAACTAAAAGTAATTTCGCTCGATTTGACGATTTCAAATCCCTCCATTTGGAATGGCAACATGGTTCGAAATAGAAAAATAGTGAGCGGTCGTGGAATACTGCGTAATTATAAAATATATAACCAGGGATGAATTGTCGTAAATGAGTTCGGTTTTGTGAATCTAACATTAAATCAAAGTTGCCTATTGCCAAATCGTGTTTTGCCGTGATTTATACGCGACCAACATTTAAATAGGTCATTTTAATAAAGAAACCGTCATATGAATGATGGGGTTCCATTACATTTGAACCCACGTACATTTGAACCCATGACAATTGCACCTGTATGCTATTGCACCTATGAAATTTTTTTTGTTTTTCGGATAGTTGAACCCATACTAACCCTAACCCATGGGTTTTAGCACCCGTATATAGATTGAACCCGTGGATATACGCATGGGTTCAAATGTACGTGGGTTCAAATGTACGGTCACCGAATGATGGCAATACTGCGTAATTATAAAATATATAACCAGGGATGAATTGTCGTAAATGAGTTCGGATTTGTGAATCTAACATTAAATCAAAGTTGCCTATTGCCAAATCGGTGTTTTGTCGTGATTTATACGCGACCAACATTTAAATAGGTCATTTTAATAAAGAAACCGTCATATGAATGATGGCAATACTGCGTAATTATAAAATATATAACCAACATTTAAATAGGTCATTTTAATAAAGACACCGTCATATGAATGATGGCAATACTGCGTAATTATAAAATATTTAAATGAGTTCGGTTTTGTGAATTTAACAAAAGTGATTTAAATAAAAGTTGCCTATTGCCAAATCGGTGTTTTGTCGTGATTTATACGCGACCAACATTTAAATAGATCAACCGTCATATGAATGCTGAAAAACGTTTATCGTGTGACTATTTACGACGTGGGGTTTGACAGACGGTATCAAAACATCGGCTATAACAAAATCAACATTGATCGATGAATATTCTGATTTAATTACGATAATAGAAAATAAAACGAGACGTTTAAGATTGAAAACAACTGTGAACAAGTGAAAATTAAATGCGAAAATTAAATGCATGTACAGAGAATTACATCAATGTAATATATTTCAAGTTTGACGCGAATCGGACTAAAAATGGCTGAGTAATTGATTAGAGTATTATGAAGTCATCCGAAGTTAGCCGGTTTTACGGTACCAATGCAATATTAGCCCATATTGTTTTTAATATCATAACCTAATAATGTACGGTAGAGTCAAGGGTTGGGCGGTGTATGAAGGTTAGGAATAAATAACATAGGCAAAATTGGTTATGACACGCCCACTAGAAGTACTAAACTGATACAGTCTACGGTACCGTCCCCGCAACTTCTGAAATTGCAATGCACAAGCGAAACACCACAACTTACGTAAGTACCGTGCTCTATAAAATCGTCACCTCTTCCAGTCGGGTCTAGTATAGTGTATTACCACAAGTACTTCTGGTGGGCGTAGCATAACGATTTTTGCATATGTTATTCCTAACCCTCACCTGACTATGCCATCCAAAAATTACGTCACTACGATGTCACCATCACATCATAGGGATTGCCAAAGTATAATTACGATCGCCCGAAATGTCATCTGCGCCGCCGATAAGAACTTGCTGAAGCCGGCGATCTCTCTCCTATCGTGATCGTCGCGATGAGAAAATGAGAGAAATAGCTTGATCGATTTCGGGTTATCGTCTGCGCGTTTTGGACGACCATCCGCATACTTCGGCAAGCCTTATTACACCACTGTGACGTCGGAATTACGTAATTTTTCGGTGACGTAGTAAAGTGGGGGTTAGGATTGACATGTGCAAATATTGTTGAGCCAGGCCAACTAGAAGTGGATGTGGTACTAAACTATACCAGACCCTTCCAGTCTTACCCATATATGATGACGTAATAGTATAAGTATAATAATAAGTATAAGTTTATTTCGACTCCATAATCAGCATAACAATACATTTGACAGATAAAAACAAATAAATAAAAACTGATTATGAAATCAGGGGAGCAAACAAAACCTTAGATAAGGTTTATAACGTACAAAATATAAGATGAAAGGTTTTGCCAAGAGGAAGTGGTACGTGTTTACTCACCTAAAATTATTAAGTTATTTCACACACGCTCACATGCACCCACCAGCCACACACACACACACACAACTGGTAGATATTCATGCGCATAGTCTT